CACTTGGGCAGATGTTTGGCGGTGAAGCTGTTGCACAGCCTTGGGTGTTTCTTCAACCCCGCTGCCCTCCTCCTCCTGCCACGGCACGGCCCCATTCGTTCTGGAACCTGCAAACCAACTCCATCCACCCATCCCCACAGTGCGGAGCACCAGGCCCAGAAGCACGCACCTGCCTCAGGCCTCTTCCTCCTCCTTTCGGGTAGGAGGCGGCTTTGCCCCCTCGTGCTAACCTCGCCCTGTGTGCCGTGCAGCTGGAGTCAAACAGGGAGGCACAGAGATGCCACAGAGGGCAACAAGCCACACAGCAGGGTCCGAGGCAGCCACCCCCCACTCCCACAGCGTCCGTGCCCCACCCAAGCATCAAGCTGCTATACCACGCATCCCCCCACCTGCTGCAGGCGTGTGGGCCTTTGTCTCCCCTTCCAGGGGAACCCAAAACCCAGGGATCCATAGGGTCATTGCCCAGATTTCCAGAGAACGTCTCCAGGGCCCTGGTCTCCAGGGGAGGAGACAGTAGGGGGAGACCTTTGGCCCAGCTTATGGCTGTCCGTGTCCCAAGTGGTCAGGCAGCTGATATGTGCATGGCTGGCGTAGCTGCTGCAGAGCTGGGCTCCCTGGAGGAGAGCATGGCCTCTTTCCCAGCTGTCCTGCTGCCAAGATATGCAGGGAGCAGCCCAGAGACACGGGTCTCAGCAAAGTGAGAGGCAGACGGTGCCGTTCCTGGGGACGTGGCTGTGGCCTGCCGGTCTGTGGCCCTGAGATGCTAGGGTGCCCACCTGGAGCTGTGAGCTGGCCTGGCAAACCTGGGAGGGCTCCATGGGCCCCTTTGGAAAGTTCCCTTTTCATGAATTTTACCTAGCATGCCCCCGCACGTGCCCATGCTGTTTTTTGCTGTCTCCAGACAGTGCCAACAGAGGCCACGAGTTGTCTGAACACTACCCCAAGCACTCAGCACTCCGCGCAGGGTCCTAGCCAGAGGGGCACGCAGCCAGCACCCCTCACTTCAGGACCAGGAAACCAGTTCACATGCCTCCAAAACAGTAGAGACTGCTGCCACGTCCTGCAGCCCCAGCCCAGACTCCCAGGGCTTCAGGGCCTTCTGCCTTAGTGCCTCTGCCCTCCAAAAGGCAGGAGATGCGCAGGGTGCAGAGGTACCCGAGGCTGCCCAGCTCACAGGCCACTGCCTATCCCTGGCTCTCGCTGTCCCGGCCTCCTTGGCACCCACCAGCCTGCGGCCACCTGTGCTGAACCTCTCGGCCCCTCTCCTTCCTGTGGGCTGAGTTTGGATGGGCCTGTTGGGAAGTCAGCACCGGAGGAAGGCCACACGTCTCTGGGCCTCACCTCTGTGCCCACCTTCCACAATGCAGCCTTGAGCAGGGACAGACTCACCTCTCTCAAAGCTTTGTGCCCACAAAGTCTTTCCCCTAAATTCCCTTCCTTGGGGCACCAACCTGCACCCCACTACTGGGTGACCCATCTCAAGGGCTGGGATGGGGCCCACATGGGGCAGCACTGAGAGGCTATAGCATTCAGGCCTGGGGGAGCACAGCAGCAACAGGGGCCCCGCCAGTGCAGTGGGGGGTGGAGCCTCAAGGGCGGCCAGAGGAGGATTGGCATGGAACGAGGGGTCAGCCTGTGGGTGGTGCCCAGACCCCCACTCTCACCTCTGCCCTGTTACAAAGGCCAGCAGGCAGGGCCTGAGGATCTGGGGTTTCCCGCTGGCCCTGCCTCACCAAGCTGAGTGACAGGTGGCAGGACTGCCCAGAGCCCTGGAGCCTGCAGCACCCACCCTCCCCTCCTGTGCATCTGCCCAGTTGGGGGCTTTGGGCTCCATGTGCCAGTGAGGAGGGCAGGGCAGCCGGACAGAGCAGGCCCAGGGCTCATGCTGGCCAGGGAGTCCCCCTGCGGAGTGGCCATGGGGACCAGATCACCTGGCCTCCCGCGCTGGGCTTCCCCTGTGCTCTCCTGTTGTCACACTCGGGCGGGTGGTGTCTGACAGTCTCACAAGGGCAGCCCTGTGGCCACTGTGGGCTCCTATAAACCCCAGGCCTGAGCTCCAGGAGCTCAAGGGTGGGGATATCCCTTAGGAGACATCAGCAGGTGGGGTTGGCGTGGTCTGTGAGCTTCACAGGCATCGGGGCTGTGGAAAGGTGCACGCAGCTTCTGGAGATTCTGGATGGGGGGAGCCAAGTCACGTTCACTGTCAATTTCTGCACGGAAGGCCTGGTACCATGCCGACAGCAGGAGGAATCCTTATTTCCAAGAGACTTGGAAACACAATTATTTGCATTTGAGAAGGGTTAATCTTGGGTGGGTGAGGACCCCTGTGGCAGCTAGGGGGATTCAGCAGAACGAGGGCCCTTAGCATGGCAGGGGTGTACCCCAGAGAGCAGTGGAAGCCACAGGGAGACAGAGGGGCTTCTGTACCCTGGGCCCAAGGCCACAGAATGGACTTGAGGTCTGAGCTGCCATCAGGGCCAGGCCCTCCCTAGCCCCAAGGCAGCTCTGGAGAACCAGGGCAGGCTCAGGCTCACCGTCCAGCCCTTCCCAAAACCCTAGGAAGCCAGGCAGATGTGCCCAGGGGCACCCAGAGAGCCAGGAGCAGCCTGGAGAATGAGCCACCAGAGGCCAATTGGGGCAAGAGCTGGGCTGCTGCTCAGGTGCAGGAGAAGAAACGCACTGGGTGGCCAGAAAGCTGGGGACCAGCGCTGCTCAGAGTTATCATGCCCCCAGGCAGAGACAGAGCGATGGCCACACCTCCCCTGCCATGGGACAGGCTGTGTCCTCCCCCGAGATTCCACCAGCTTCAAACCTCCAAGTATGGTTCGGCCACCTGAGCGGCCAGAGCCCAGCCCAGGGGGCCCTGCCTCAGCTTAACCCCTGGGAGGGGTTAAGCATGAGAGGAGCCAGCAGGCCCCAGTCCTCCTCCCCTGGTTAATTGCTGCAAGGCCTTGGATGTTTCAGGAACTTTCCAGAAGCTCTGTTCTGGGCCAGAGCGAGAGCAGATGGTGGGAGAGGGGTGCAGGGCCCAGGAGACGCATCCCTCACGCTGTGCCCAGCCAACTCTGTGTCCACACGGTTTCCCTGAGGCCCAGTAAGCCCAGTGCAGAAAGACAAATCCCAGCCAGGCTCTGCAAAACAGGTCAGGCGAGGAGGGGCAGAGTGGTGAAGGCTAAGAGTGTTTTTAGAACCAGTTACTGGTTTGACCTCAGATTAGCCTCAGGTAGGAGAAGAAACCGGGGTCACAGGGAGTCATGCCTGGGCAGCCAGCTTAACAGCCCTTGCCTCCCGGCCTAGGGCTGCCTGGGCTGGGGCTGCCCTCTGCCCTGCAGTCCTGGGCTCATGGCCAATTCCCTGCCACCATCCCCGAGGAGGACTCGGAAGGAAAGGGGCCGGTAAAGAAACCAGAGCCCGCAAAGTGGATATTCTGTGCTAGGGAGGCCAGACCAGCCCAAAAGCCCCTGCCCAGGTGGATGGGAAAGGGCCTGCCCTGGGAAGGGGGCCAGCCTACCCTCCCTGCCCCAGCACTGTACCCCACCCTGCTTTGCTTGGGGATACAGCCCAGCCTCCCCAGCAGAGGGGCTGCCCCTTCAACCCCCTCCCCCAGTTCACTTTTTCTGAAAATCCCCGAAGGCATTATCTCAGGAGGATCAACTCAGGCCAAGCCCCCCAGAATTCCTGCGTCTTACCAGAGGAACAACCAAGGCCCCTGGGTTTGAGGAGACCCCTCGGGGTCACCGTGGAGCACTAGGGCCTGGTCAGAGAACCAACTTCGCAGCGGGAAGCCCTTTCCACGGGACACCCCACCCTCTGTGGTGGCGGCCAGGCCAGTGCTGGGGAGCGTGGGGGTTGGTGCCGAGGTCAGGCAGGCTTACTGTCGAGAGATCTGCAGTGGGAGCCTTTGTATGAAGAGGAGGAAGCCCTCTGGGGGTTGGAAGCAAAGGGAGCAGGCAGTGTCCAGGGCCCCCCAGGACCCCAGTAGGGGGCCAGGGGCTAAAGGATGGCTGGTTCTGGGGGTCTCGAGATCCCGACTGTGGAGTAAGTGGAGTAAGTGGATGGGAAGACGGCCCAGGGCCAGGGCGGGGTGCGTGTGGCTGCCCATGTACGCTATGAAGCCCAGCCAAGAAACAGGCATCATTGCCGGTGTCCCCAAAGCACAGACACTTCCCAGGCACCCAGGCAGCACGCAGGCCACGTGGGCCAGGCTCCAGCAGGAAGCCTTGGCCACTGGCTGACCTGCCCGGGTCCACCCGTCCAGACGGCATGCTGGGCTGCACTGAGCCATGTGCCGGAGCCCTCTAGACCTCACCCCAGCCACGGGTGGGCACTCAGTGGACACTGAGCTCACATCTCACCATGGGTTTTTAAATAACATTTTGTTGTTTTACCAAAAAAACACATTCTTAATTCAAAAAACGGAAAATAGGGAAAAACTCGCCAGATAAAGATGATCCCTTCCAACACCCCTGTGTGAAGACAGTCTCAGCCAGTGCTTTGGAAAGGCTGCCTGGTGCCGAGGCCTGAGCCTGTGTGCGGCGCTCCTCTAGGCCCTTGGCTTGTGCCTGGCCAGGGGCTTCCCACTAGCGTGGCCTTTCCTTCGGCCTCGCAACCTTGGCACTGCTGGCCCATGGGGGAGGCAGGGGCAGGGCATGTGTCTTAGACAGTGGGGACACCTGGTGCAGCTGGGAGGAAGGGCTTCCGGTCAACCATTTACCCCAGCATCCCTGCCCCCCAGGACCATCTTCAGAGCCAGATGTCCAGGTGCCCAGTGGAGGGGCAGGCCCAGGCCCTACCAAGCAGGACCCACTGAGCAAGGCGAGGACACAGCTCTCCAGTCAGGCCTTCAAGGACTCCTGGAGCAGCCAGGCCAAGGGTCACAGGGCCCTGCTGGCCGGGGCAGCAGAACCACTGCATGTGTGGAGAATGTGTGAGCACAGCCTCCTGCCCCTCCTGTGCTCCTGATGCAGGCTGCTTGTCTCCCGTTTCTCTTTACCCGGCAGAGCTCCCAGCTCCTCCAGCAGCCGATAGGAGCCCCATCAAGATGCAGGTGGGCTTTGCCACCCCAGGGATGAAGACGGCAGCGCAGGCAAAGGCCAAGCCCACAGGAGCCTCCCGGTCTCATCCTGCAAAAGCTAAAGGCTGCCAGAGGCCCCCCAAGATCCGGAACTACAACATCAAGGACTGACTTCCTCGACCCCCCCCACCACCCGCCACTTGGCATGAGTGCCTGTGCTTTCACCTACGTGTTGAGGGTGTGTGGGCGCAGGATGCAGGGTGGGGCAGGGAGCTGCAGGGATGCTGCTGTGGCAACCTGCTGACCATAGGCCTCGCTGAGCGCAGGGTCCATTAAAACCAGGCTCCTCCCTGGGGCACCTCCTTGGCCGCAGCATTGTTTATCTGTCCTACTTGGGAAATGTGCCATTGAGTACTTCTGCCAGAGCCCAGCGGGCCGTGGTGACCACCCACAGCCACCTGCATGCTGGCGGTGTTGGGGACAGTGTGGTCTTCCTCAGAGCTTGGTGGGGGGGGGCAGAGCAGAACGCCCACCCACAAAGCAGGTGTCTCCTGAGAGTGCCATGGGAGGGTCCCTCCCAGAAGGAGAGCCTCGGATCCGAGTGAGCCTGGCCAAGGTGACCCCTAGAGGCCAGGTGGGTGCGGGGGCCTTGTGCAGTTTAGGGTGTGAGTGTCAGGTGCTGCCAGGGTGAGGGCCAACCCAGAATAGAGGTCACTGCTGGGCCTTCCACGCCCACCCCCACAAAGGACAGCAGCAAGATGTCCCTGCCATCTGGGTGCCTGGGGCCGTGCATCTGCAAGGACAGAAATGCACATCAAGCAACGCCCATCCGAGCCACCCGGAAGACACCGCACTCCCCTGCCGAAAAGCACTTCCGAGAGTCCTCCACACCAGTGCTCTGCAGCCAGCAGGAGGGTGACTTGTGGGGGTTCGTGTCCCACCCCCACTCCTCCGGAGCCCTGCCTCCATGCCCCCAGCCTGGCACCCAGGCCTGATCATGCCCTGCCAGATAAAGTGCAGGGGTGAAGGTGCTGTTTACCCAGCTGGGTGAAGTGCCTTGCTGCATACCCTCAGGCCACCTTTCTGAACCGGGCAGACAGCTTCTCCGGAAGAGGAAGGGAGAACGCTGCTCCCAGCCCTAGCCTGTGTGTCACCTTAGCAAATCACAGGACCTTTGCAGCTTCAGTTAGCACCCGTGTAAAATACAGACAGTGCTCCGAGGGAGCCTGCCTGCCTGCCTGGCTCACAGGTGTGCCCCCGGATAAACATGACAAGCAGAGCCCACACCACACAGAGGCTGTGGTTCCCCAAGGCAGGACTCCCTCCTGCACAGACTGTGCTATGGTAGCTAGCGTCCTCATTTGCTCCGTGGGAATCCACAGAGATTGGGATGGGCGGTGGGGAGGTGGGGGGTCCTCCTGCAGCTGTCCCCTGGAAGCGAGTCATGGTTCATGGCCCTGTGACTTTTCTTATTTTTTATTTTTTTGAGACAGAATCTGCTCTGTTGCCGGGCTGGAGTGTAGTGGCACCATCTCGGCTCACAGCAACCTCCGCCTCCTGGATTCACAGGATTCCCCTGCCTCGGCCTCCAGAGTAGCTGGGATTACAGGCATGCGCCACCATGCCCGGCTAATTTATTTTTTTGTATTTTTAGTAGAGACAGGGTTTCACCATGTTGACCAGGATGGTCTTGATCTCCTGACCTCATGATCCACCCACCTTAGCCTCCCAAAGTGCTGGGATTACAGGCGTGAGCCACCGCACCCGGCTAGAAACAGGGTTTCACCATGTTGGCCAGACTGGTCTCAATCACCTGACCTCGTGATCCACCCACCTCAGCCTCCCAAAGTGCTGGGATTACAGGCGTGAGCCACCGCGCCCAGCTGTCCCTGTGACTTTCTTTAGCTGAAAGTGAGTTGAGCTGCCGGTCACTTTCTTTTTCTTTTTGAGATGCAGTCTTGCTCTGTCACCCAGGCTGGAGTGCAGTGGCACAATCTCAGCTCACTGCAACCTCCACCTCCCAGGTTCAAGCAATTCTGCCTCAGCCTCCCAAGTAGCTGGGACTACAGGCACACGCCACCACACCAGGCTAATTTTGAATTTTTAGTGGAAATGAGGTTTCACTGTGTTGGCCAGGCTGGTCTCAAACTCCTGACCTCAGGTGATCCGCCAGCCTCAGCCTCCCAAAGTGCTGGGATTACAGGTGTGAGCCACTGCATCTGGCTTAATTTTTGTATTTTTAGTAGAGCCGGGTTTTCATTATGTTGGGCACGATGATCTCCAACTCCTGACCTCGTGTTCTGCCCACCTAGGCCTCCCAGAATGCTGGAATTACAGGCATCAGCCACTGCCAGTCACTTTCCGTAGAAGACCTCAGGGTGCTGGATGAGTCTCCTGGCCTCTGGAGCCGTCCAGGGCTTCCCTATAGCTGGCCCAGCCCCAGACAGGCTGCAGAGAGCAGAGCCCTCCTGGCTGCTAACCACCAGCACTGTCAGCTAGGGCCATCTGGGAGGTTTGCAGCATGGAGAGCCAGGGCTGTGTGCCCCCATGCCTGAGGCTGACACAGGGCCTCACCCTGCATCAGAAAAACCCCTCCAGTGGGGACAGCAGTGTGGGACCAGCGCCGGCCCTGTGTCCCCTTGTCCTTCCTTGACCTTCCGTCCCACTGTGTGTGAACCACAGCCCCAGGGCCAGAAGGGAAAAGGCTGTGGAGTGGCCGCCTGACACTCAGGCCTGCTCCCAGGAGAGGGAGGAGGCCGGATACCTGCAGAGGGGCGGGCGGGGGTGGCGGTGTTCAGTCTCTGGTTCCCCTTCAGCGGCCCGGCCTTCCTGATCCCTCAAAGCAGGACATGCAGCCAGGGACACCTGTGGCCTCCCAAGGCCCGCTTGCCCCCCACGGGGTGCCTGGCCCTGCAGGCGCGAGGTGGCCAGGAAAGGGAGGGCGCGCGTCAGGGCTCAGACCGCCGAGCCGGCAACCGTTGGTGGAGTGGAATCACTCAGGAGGGAGGAGCGCGCGAGGGCCGGGCTGAGCCCCCGCCCGTGGGTGCGCGCCTGGAAAACGCGCAGCCTCCGCCTAGCGAAGCCGGGCAGCGGCTCCCTTTGTTTGCATCACACCTGGTGGGTGTCCCGGCCGACAGCGCCCGCCACGTGGCCGCGCCCCACCCCTCCAATGCGTTCCGGCGGCCCGGGGTGCGCGCGCCCGTTCGGCCCCGCGGCTCTACCCCGTCCCCGGGAGGCTGCCGAGAAGGGGCCGTCGGGTGAGCGGGCGTCCGTCTGGGTTTCCCGCCGGATCCGCAAGGAGAACCGGGGAGGCGCTGCGATGACCGGCAGTAACCCCGCTCCGGGCGCCCTCGGCCGGGGTCAACGACCGCGCTCGCGCGGCAGCCCGCGCGGCATCCGGGACCGCCCCGCCGCCCACCCATCACCCTATCGCCTAGCAACGCCCACCCGTGCGCCGCCATTGGGCCGGCGCGAACGCCCCCGGCGCCCGATTGGTCGCTGCGGCCGCCGCGCTACGCTCCAGGCCAGCTCCGCGCGGGCAGCGTTGGCGGCGTGTAGCCGGGCGGCCGAGCCTCTGGCACGCGGGCACGTCCGTCCGTCCGTCCGCGCGCCTGTGGGCCCGAGCACCTCCCGAACACCCTGCCGGGGCGCGGCCGGCTGGACCCCCGGTGCGGCCGCGGCGCAGTCCCCAGTGTGGCGCAAGCATGCCCATCCCGCACACGTGGTCCCGGCGGAGACCGGGGTCGGGGGCGCGCCGTGAGCTCGGTCCCAGCCGCGTGCGCGTCGGGGCCCGCGGGGCGGGGAGCGGAAGTCGGGGGGCGGGGCTTGCCCGCGCGCCCCGCCCCCAGCGCGCCCCAGGCCCGGCCCCTCCCCCCGCGCGTCCCCGCGCAGGGTCCCGGCTTGGGCGGCGGCGCGCACGGGCATCACCCCACCGGCGGCGGCGCGCTGGGTCCCGGGGCGCAGCCCCGACGCTCATTGGCCTGGGCGGCGCAGCCAAGCTGTCAGCCCATGTGGCGTGGCCGCCCGGGGATGGCCGCGGTTTAAATAGCGCCGGCGCCGGCCTAGAGGGAGCCAGAGAGACGGCAGCGGCCCGGCCTCCCGCTCCGCCGCGCTCCAGCCTCGCTCTCCGCCGCCCGCGCCGCCGCCCGCACCGCCGCCCGCGCCCTCACCAGGTACGAGCAGCCGGCGCGGGGCTGAGGCGCGGGTCGCGGTGCGGGCTGGGGCCGGCGGGGTCACCGGGCGGCCGGCGCTGCACCCTCCGGTCTCAGGGCGCGCGTGGCCTGTCCCGCCCGCGTCCGGGGGTCGCCTGCGCGGCCTGCCCGGGTCTCGGTGTCCGAGCCGCTTCGGAGGCGCCCGCGGCCCCGCGGCGCAGGTGGGCCGATGGCCGGGGAAGGACGCCGGGGAGCGCCGCCAGCAGCCGCGTTCGCTTCCCGGGCGGGGGGCCGGGGACCCCGGGGGGCCTGGAGGAGCCCCCGGCCCGGCCTCCCCGCGCCCACAAAGGCGCCACCGGGCCCTGCCCGCCGCATCCTTCTCTGGGGGCCGCCCCGTGGCCGAGGCCCAGCACGACGGGGACGCCGCGAGGGAGGAACGGGGTGGGCGCGGGTCCGGCCTCCCCATCACGTGGCGCCGCCGGGCCGAAGCGCAGGGGTCGCAGGCAGCCCCCGCCCCGGGCAAAGGGAGGCCGGCGCGCCACGGGGTCCCCACCCCCACCTGACCGTCGACTCTGAGTGAATCGCAAGCGGCGGGAACCCAGCGTGCGGCCTGGAGCCGGCGCCAGCCTCTGTGAATCGCGGTGTGGGGGGAAGGCGGCCACCTCCCTGCCGGGACGGCCCGGGGACTCCGCAGCTTGAGGGAGGCCGCAGTGCCCAGGGGCGGCGTGCGCATCCAGCCCCGGGGCCTCGTGCAAGTGGCCAGGCCGGCCCTCTCCCCGCGGGCTGCACCAGCCCCATGCTGGATCCGGAGCCGGCAGCCTGGGCCCCGGTTCGAGGTCGTAGGGACCTGGGCCCCAGGGAGGGCCTGCTGCTGTCTGGGTCAGTATGGGGAGGCAAGCAAGTGTCGCATGTTCACCCGCACAGGTGAGGGGTGCCAGGGAACACCATCCTGGCCAGGAGCGGTTCTCCGGGTTAGACCCTGCTTGAGGGGTTGGACGGGCTGGGTCGGTCCTCAGTGGGGCAGGGGCCATCTTTCCCCCGGAGCACAAGCCTATCCCTGCTTCGTCCCTGGCGACTCCTGGGCTGGCCTGGACAGTGGGCCTCCAACCCTATGTGGGTGGACATGGGTGCTGAGTACCCGCTCTAGGGTTCCCTACCACCTCCATGAGCCCTCCAGTCCCTTTCCCAGCCCCGGCTTTGGGACCGTGCCTCAGGCTGGCCATCTGAGTCATCTCGGGCAGCCCTGCCTGCTCCTCACTGTGAGCCCCCGGGTGCCCCTAGGGATGGCCTGGGACAAGCTGCAGGAGCCTTTGAGGGCTGAGGCTCGGCTGGGGGGAAGCCAGCACAGGTGCAGAAACCTCAGACTGCTGGGGAGGTCAGGGCCACAGTGGGGTCCCCAGGCCAATACCCCACATTGAATGGGTCAGGGCCTAGAGGTGGGCCTGTTCCCAGAGCATGCAGCGCCTCCCAGTGACAGTGGGGCCAGGGCCTAGGAAGGGGCCACTTGAGGGAGGGAGCAGCAGGGGCCAGGGCTTGCGCGGATCCTGAGGCTAGCTCACCCCATGGGTGGCCACCCGTTCCGTGTGCTGAGGCTGCTGGCAGGGGTGTCTCGGGCAGAACACGTGCGGCACTCACACCTCCACTCTGCAGAGCAACCATGGAGGAAGTGGTGATCGCTGGGATGTCCGGGAAGTTGCCGGAGTCGGAGAACCTGCAGGAGTTCTGGGACAACCTCATCGGCGGTGTGGACATGGTCACGGACGATGACCGTCGCTGGAAGGCGGGTGCGTGGCTGCGGGGCTCCCTGTGGCCGGGGTGGGTCAGCTCCACCTTCGCCCTCACACCAGCCTCCCTGCTGCGCTGTGTCCCCAGCACCCAGGCACTGACCTGAGCCTGGCCGCAGCTGCAGAGCCACTGGTCACCCCTGGGCAAGGCCAAGCTGCAGCCTCCTTCCTGGAGACCGCACCACAGTGGCCTAGAAAATGGGCCCAGCCCGCCAGGAGGTTCCCCCAGCGGCTGCAGGGCCCATGGGCCTGTTACAGGGAAGTCAAGCTCAGAGGATGGATGATGGGCTGGGGTCTCTCGCCAGCAGGGGCAGAGCCCTTCCGGCCAGGCTGCCCCCGCCTGTGTCCTGAGCTGGCAGGTTGCATACGAGGTGCGCTCTCAGAGGCTGATCCAACTCCCCCACGCCCAGTAGGCTCTTCCACAGAGCAGCTCTACCTGACGGGCGAGCTGTGAGTCAGCATGGTGGAGCTGAGGCATGGGCCAGGCAGAGGGTCCCCCAGCCTCACTCCCACCGAGCTCTTTCTGCTCTGGGGCCCATCTCAGGGTTGGGCCTGGGGTCTTGCACAAGAGACCTGGTGGTACCAGTCCCTGCTTTGTGGCCTCAGTCCTCTCCTGAGGAGCCTGTTCCATTGCTCCCAGGTATAGCAGAGACTCCTTAATTCCCTGCAGCACCCCACAGGGCCCCCACCTCCCGGCAGCTTCAGTCGGAGACTTAAACATCCGCCTGTCCCATAGGGCTCTACGGCCTGCCCCGGCGGTCCGGCAAGCTGAAGGACCTGTCTAGGTTCGATGCCTCCTTCTTTGGGGTCCACCCCAAGCAGGCACACACGATGGACCCCCAGCTGCGGCTGCTGCTGGAAGTCACCTACGAGGCCATCGTGGACGGAGGTGGGTTGGCATTGGCGATGCTGCGCCCAGAGTTTCTGCTGCCACGTAGAACAGGCAGTGCTCTCTTCTGGGTGCTGGTAGAACCGGGTGCCGGCACCACCTGCCTTCCCTGGCCATGTCCCTGGCCTGGCCAATGGGCTCTGGGAGGTGTAGGTCCCTGGGTAGGCCGAGGTTTCACAACTGCACCCCAGAGGTGTCAAGGGTGTGCCCGGACCTGGGTGTACCAGTTTCTTTACTCCTGCTGTCTGGCTGGTGCTGGGGCCTTGGCCAGGGCTGGAGTGAGAAGAGGCAGGGCAGAAGATTCTCCAGGGGCCCTCTGGGCCCCAACCCCCTCCAGCCAAGCAGCGGGCAGCACCAGCTCCTGTCTCTCTCCCCGCCAGGCATTCCCACCCCATCCCACCAGCCTGGTCCTCACTCTGGTTGGTGCCTGACCTCCAACGAGCACTGTACTATTCTTAAGGTCTAGATGCTCCCTCCCGGGGCAGAGAAGGACCTCCTGACAGGCAAGGCTGAGCCCCGGGGCTGCCCTTGGGCGTAAGCAGTTCAGACACCCACCCACCCTGGCAGGCCTAGAGCTGGCGTGCCAGGGGCAAGGAGGGATCCTTCTGGCCGAGAGGCAGAGGCTCTTCCCCTTGCCCTTCCTGCTGCCAGGCCCCCAGCCCAAGACCGAGGTGCTGCTCCTTGGGGTGGCCGGTGGCCATCCTTCCTTCCCAAGCCTGGACACTTGGGCTTTGTCTTCTGAGCTCCTTATCACAGCCTGTCCTGTTGCAGGCTGCCCTTGGCCCCGGAGTGGCCACTGGCCAACGGGCTCATCAGAGCTTGCCGGTGACACCAGGGGCCAAAGGCACCGCCTGGGGACAATGCTGCCCTCTGTCCTTCCTGGAGCCACTGTGGCCGCGCCTGGTGCCCTCCCCTGGGCCCGCCTATGACCCCCCCCTCGTTCCCTCTGTGACCTGGTTCTCATTCCAGGCCTCACCTCGCCTGGTTGCAGGTCACCTCACCCTCCTTAGGCCTCTTCCAGGGTCCCACTGGGATGGACACTCCCTCCAAAGCCAGTGAGGCCAAGAGATGGGGCCTTCACTCCAGAGCTGGGCGAGTGGGTGGGCTGCACTGTGGGGCCCAGCCAGGGGTCTTGACCACTGTTTGTGGCAGGCATCAACCCAGCTTCACTCCGAGGGACACACACTGGCATCTGGGTGGGCGTGAGTGGCTCTGAGGCCTCGGAGGCCCTGAGCCGAGACCCTGAGACGCTCTTAGGCTACAGCATGGTGGGCTGCCAGCGGGCCATGATGGCCAACCGGCTCTCCTTCTTCTTCGACTTCAAAGGTGGGTCCCGCTGGCCTCCTGCAACATGGGGCAGCCTTGGGGTCCCCGCATGCTGAGCAGAAACCTCAGGGCATGGGCTCACTCTGGGTAGCGCGTGTCCAGCCCAGTAGCGGGAGGCGTGCTCATGGGTCTTGTGCTCGCCGCCCCACCTGAGCCACAGCGCCCTTGCCCACAGGGCCCAGCATCACCCTGGACACAGCCTGCTCCTCCAGCCTGCTGGCCCTGCAGAACGCCTATGAGGCCATTCGCAGTGGAGTGTGTCCCGCTGCCATCGTGGGAGGCATCAACATCCTCCTGAAGCCCAACACGTCCGTGCAGTTCATGCGGCTGGGCATGCTCAGCCCTGAGGGCGCCTGCAAGGCCTTCGACGAAGCAGGTGAGTGTGTGCCTGACCAGTCTGGGGCAGCCAGGACAATGGAACAGGACAGTATCCCCACCACCATGCCCCTGCACCTGCCCAGTTCTGACCCACACTGCACACAATACTGCCAGCTCCCAGGATCCCTGCCTCATGGTCCCTCCCCAAGCACTCACCCCACACCCCAGAGCTCCTCCTGGTGGGGTGGGGGCCAGGGTGGGCTGAGCCCAGGGCCTGAGGTGCCACTTCGCCCAGGGAACGGGTACTGCCGCTCGGAGGCTGTGGTGGCCGTCTTGCTGACCAAGAAGTCCCTGGCCCGGCGGGTGTATGCCACCATCCTGAATGCTGGCACCAATACAGATGGCTGCAAGGAGCAAGGTGGGCTCTGCCGGGGTGCTGGGATGCAGGGGGTCGGGCGGGAGCCAGGGCTGGGACCACAGTGCTGAGCCGGGCCCTCCACAGGTGTGACCTTCCCCTCTGGAGAGGTCCAGGAGGAGCTTATCCGCTCCTTGTATCAGCCGGCCGGGGTGGCCCCTGAGTCACTGGAGTACATTGAAGCCCATGGCACGGGCACCAAGGTGATGCACCCCCCGCCCCACACCACCCCGTGTGCTAAGCTATGCCCATGCCTGAAAAGGTGGCCTGGCCAGAGCCCCTGACTCCCCATGTTCCCCGAAGGTGGGGGACCCCCAGGAGCTGAATGGCATCGTCCAGGCCCTGTGTACCACCCGCCAGGAGCCACTGCTAATCGGCTCCACCAAGTCCAACATGGGGCACCCAGAGCCAGCCTCAGGGCTGGCAGCCCTGGCCAAGGTAGGTGGGGCTGGGCTTGGGGTCCCTCAGCCCCCGGCTCTCTGGGACCGGGTTGCACCATGGCTGGGCACTGCTGCGGGTCTGATCAGAGGCACTGAGGCTGACAGCAGGGAGAGCTTGTGGCCCAGCTCAAGGGGCTTCCCCTGGGCTCTGACATCCTGCTGAGGGCCTTCAGGGCATGGAGCCAAGCCGGAGGAGTGCCTGGGTGGTAAGAGCTTGGCAGGAGCAGGCCCGGAGGGGCATTGCAGCATCAGGGTCTCCCTAGTGTCATCCGCCCATCCCTACAGCTTCCCAACCCACTAGCAGGGTCCTGGGGCCTTTCAGGGAGACCCCAACACCCACCGTCACTCGGGCCCTTCCCATTCTTCTGCAGCCTGGAGAGGAACAGCTGGGCCAAGGAGGCCTTAGTGTTCAGGCCCACAGCCTGCCTTTAGGGGGTCGGCATCGCGCTGGGAGGCAGCAGGGCCTGAAGGGGAGGTCTCAGGCCAAGCTGAGGGCAAGGCCACGGCAGGCAGTCCTCAGACCTCTGTGCCATGGCAGAATTAGGCTGGGGATGGGAAGTGTGTTGGAGAGGCCCCCGAACCCGGGCCCCACAGAGTCTAGGGAGGTGCCTGCCCCTGGCTCAGACAGCAGTGCAGGCAGTGGGGTGGCTGCCCACCCGCTACGTTCCCCCACAGGTGCTGCTGTCCCTGGAGCACGGGCTGTGGGCCCCCAACCTGCACTTCCACAACCCCAACCCTGAGATCCCAGCACTGCTGGACGGGCGGCTACAAGTGGTGGATCAGCCCCTGCCCGTCCGTGGCGGCAACGTGGGCATCAACTCCTTCGGCTTTGGGGGTTCCAATGTACATGTCATCCTGAAGCCCAACACACAGCCGCCCCCGGCACCTGCACCACACACCACCCTGCCCCATCTGCTGCGGGCCAGCGGACGCACCCCCGAGGCTGTGCAGGAGCTGCTGGAGCAGGGCCTCCAGCACAGCCAGGACCTGGCCTTCCTGAGCATGCTGAACGACATTGCAGCTGTCCCCACCGCTGCCATGCCCTTCCGTGGCTACGCCGTCCTGGGTGGCAAGAGCAGTGGCCCAGAGGTGCAGCAGGTGCCCACTGGCGAGCGCCCGCTCTGGTTCATCTGCTCTGGTGAGCCTGCGCTCTGCCCCCTAGGTGGTCCCTACCCTGGGGAGAGGGCAGGCGAGCTGGAGCTGGTGGCCCCCCAAGGTGCCCTTTGGGACAGGGATGGGTATGCAGTGGCACGGGATGGGGCTGAGCCTCCTGACGTGCTCTCTGGGACAGGGATGGGCACGCAGTGGCGTGGGATGGGGCTGAGCCTCATGCGCCTGAGCGTCTTCCGAGACTCCATCATGCGCTCCGACGAGGCCGTGAAGTCACTTGGCCTGAAGGTGTCACAGCTGCTGCTGAGCACGGAGGAGAGCACCTTTGACGACCCCGTCCATTCCTTTGTGAGCCTGACCGCCATCCAGGTACGGCCCAGTGCACCAGCGTGCGTGTGACCCCAGTCCTGGGACTACCTTCCCCTGGAGCCCAGGAGCTGCAGTCTTGGATCCGGGGCCCTGACAGCCACTTTGCTGGGCAGAGCCTTGTGCTGGGGGCAGGATGGGAGGGGAGGAGGGGTCTCCACGGGGCCTGGGTGCTGGGGCTCTAGGGGATTCTTTCCTACCAGGAGGCTTGGGACAGTAGGTAGATGGGGCGATGCGAGGAGAGGGCCTGGAGGGACCAGGGGCCGTCCCCAACAGCTACATCTGCGAGAGGTTGCAGCCTGAGCATCCTGTCCCCACCCCAGATAGGCCTCATAGACCTGCTGAGCTGCATGGGGCTGAAGCCAGATGGCATCATCGGCCACTCCCTGGGGGAAGTGGCCTGTGGCTACGCAGATGGCTGCTTGTCCCAGGAGGAAGCTGTCCTCTCTGCCTACTGGAGAGGGCAGTGCATTAAAGAAGCCAACATCCCGAAAGGCGTCATGGCAGCCGTGGGTAGGTGTCCCCAAGTTCCTCCTCCTCTCCAAAAGAGAAGGCTGCCTTCTCACTGTGGGGTCCTCACCCGCTGCCCCGGGAACACCCAGCTCAGACACAACCATGCACGAATCCCCATGCAGCTGCCCTGCTGGCCCCATGCCTGGCAGTCATGAGCCTGGCACTCACCCACAGGCAGCAGGCCTGCGTGGAGCCCCCGTGTGATGAGGACACACAGCCCCAGCACGGCCAGAACCCAGGGTCTTTGGTGAAGCCGACACACTCGGCGTTCCCTCAGCCTGGTGCCCTCCATTGGCACCCATCCCTGAGCCCCATGGGCCACACTTGGGCTGGGGCTGGAGAGCACCGGGGCTCCAGAGGACCGACGGGGCTGCCGTCTGGGGACCGGGCTCCCAGGAGCTCCCTGCAGTGGCGGTTCAATAATGACACCTCCACCCACAGTCAGACGCAGCAGGGGTGAACGTGCCTCGTGAAGGGTCCAAGGCTGTCATTACCGTGCCTGTGATGACTGCCCCCAGCTGCAGGCGGTGTCCCAGGTGGGCGGGAGTGGCTTGGTCCCCACGCTAAGCCTCGGGCTGGCTCTGCCATAGGCTTGTCCTGGGAGGAGTGTAAGCAGCGCTGTCCCCCGGGTGTGGTGCCCGCCTGCCACAACTCTAAGGAGACGGTGACCATCTCAGGACCTCAGGTGGGTGCTACAGCCCGGGCAGGCTCCCCTGTTCCCTGCACCTGCTGTCACACATCTGGCAGGGACACACAGCTGCGGTCTATGCCCCACCAAGCTCTGACGGGCCCAGGACGCGGGGGCAGGCTTGTCCCTGTGTCCCCTGCCCATTCCCTCGGGGTGAGCTGGGGTGCATCCTACCTGCCAGAGCCTGAGGTGGGTGCCCAGCCCAGAGCACTCATCTAGGTCCCCTTGACGCTCAGGGCCCGGTACGCGAGTTCGTGGAACAGCTGAAGCAGGAGGGCGTGTTTGCCAAGGAGGTGCAGACGGGCGGCATAGCTTTCCACTCCTACTTCATGGAGGGCATCGCACCCCTCCTGCTGCAGGAGCTCAAGAAGGTGGGCTGACACAGTCTGGGGGCGAGGGGCACGGCGGGGGCCACAGCCCGGCACTGACCAGGCCCCTCGTGCAGGTGATCCGGGAGCCGAAGCCACGCTCGGCCCGCTGGCTCAGCACCTCCATCCCCGAGGCCCAGTGGCACACCAGCCTGGCACTCACGTGCTCCCCCGAGTACAGCGTCAACAACCTGGTGAGCCCCGTGCTGTTCCAGGAGGCCCTGTGGCACGTGCCTGAGCACGCGGTGGTGCTGGAGATTGCGCCCCATGCCCTGCTGCAGGTAGGTTCAGCCTGGGGGCCTCAGGTGCCAGAAGCCTGGGACGGGCAGCTCAGCTGAGCACCGAGGGAGCCCATGTGTCCTGCCACCCCCAGGCTGTCTTGAAGCGTGGCCTGAAGCCAAGCTGCACCATCATCCCCCTGATGAGGAAGGACCACAGGGACAACCTGGAGCTGTTCCTCGCCGGCGTCGGCAAGCTGCATCTCTCAGGGTGGGGGTCCCTTCCTGGCCTGGGCCTCGTCTCCTGGAGTCGGGATGGCAGGGGGTGGGTGAGCAGGGCTGCGGGCCCCTCGCCGACCCAGTCTGGTGGTAGCAGCCCTGGATGGCCCCCCACAGGGAGTGGGTGGGCTGAACCCAGAGACCCTGGACCCTGGTGACAGGTGTGCTGCCCTTGTCTCCCCAACCCCAGCATCGATGCCAACCCCAATGCCTTGTTCCCACCGGTGGAGTTCCCGGTTCCCCGAGGAACGCCCCTCATCTCCCCGCTCATCAAGTGGGACCACAGCCTGGCCTGGGACGTGCCAGCCGCCAAGGACTTCCCCAACAGCTCTGGTTCCCCATCAGCCTCTGTCTACACCATCGGTGAGCCAGGGCCTGGGCAGTGGGTGGGCTCCTCCCTCCCCACGCCGGTGCTGAGGCCTGTGCCCTCCCGCAGACACCAGCCCTGAGTCTCCTGACCGCTACCTGGTGGACCACTGCATCGATGGCCGTATCATCTTCCCTGCCACTGGCTACCTGTGCCTCGTGTGGAAGACACTGGCCCGTGCCCTGGGCCTGGCCATGGAGCAGCTGCCCGTGGTGTTTGAGGAGGTGGTGGTGCACCAGGCCACCATCCTGCCCAAGACCGGTGAGGGGCACCCCAGGGCCGAGGCTGGAGCAGCTGGGGGGGTATTGCTGCCCTCTGATATCTGACCCCCCCGCTCTGTAGGGACCATGTCCCTGGAGGTACGGCTCCTGGAGGCCTCCCACACCTTCGAAGTGTCACAGAGTGGCCACTTGTTAGTGAGTGGTAAGCAGGGCCACCGGCATGGAGGCTGGGGGGGCTGTGCCCACTGGCCCTGCCGCCCACCCTCAGGCCCTTCCACACTCACCTGCCCGCAGGGAAGGTGCATCAGTGGGAGGACCCTGACCCGAGGCTCTTTGACCACCCGGAAAGCCCCACCCCCAGCCCCGAAGAGCCATTCTTGTCCCAGGCTGAAGTGTACAGGGACCTGCGTCTGCATGGCTACGACTACGGCCCTCACTTCCAGGGCATCCTGGAGGCCAGCCTGGACGGTAGGCACTGCCCGTACTGCTGCCTGAGCCACTGGAGAGAACGGTGGTCATTGCAGGGCTACAGAGGGCACCCAAGGCTGGGCATGCAGCCCCAGAGGGTGTAGAAGGGCCCAGTGGGCTCTGAGCTGCGGCCTTGGGGACCTGGGAGTTCCCAGAACACCAAGCAGGCCCTGTTTGCAGGCAACTCGGGTAAGCTGTTATGGAAAGACAACTGGGTGTCCTTCCTGGACACCATGCTGCAGATATCCATCCTGAGCGTAAGCCAGGACAGCCTGTTGCTGCCCACCCGCATCACTGCCATCCACATCGATCCTGCCACCCACAGGCAGAAGCTGTACACAGAGCAGGACGAGGCCCAAGGTAGCCCTGCCCCTGCCCAGCTCCGGTCCCATGCCCTAGCCAATGGTGACCGTGCTCACAAACCTATCCCCACAGTGGCTGACGTGGTGGTGAGCAGGTACCTGAAGACCACAGTGGCCGGAGGCGTCCATGTCTTCCTGCTCCACACTTCGGCGGCCCCGCGGCGACAGCAGGAACATCAGGCGCCCATCCTGGAGAAGTTTTGTTTCACGCCCCATGTGGAGGATGGGTGCCTGTCTGGGAACGCTGCTCTGAAGGAGGAGCTGCAGCTGTGCAAGGGTGAGGTCCCGGCCCTGCCAGCTTTGGACACCTTGGGTGATGGGGAGCGATCACCTCCCCTTCATGTTGACCCCACAGTGGCACCTCCACAGGGCCCCTTTGGAGTCAGCAACCCCAGCCCAACTCCCCGGCCGGAGCTCACAACAGCAGCGTCCCTCCCCCAGGCCCCGGTCTTCCTTGTCCCTGGTAACTGTCCCCCAGTCTCGAAGGAGGACTTAGGGACAAAGATGACAGACTCAGCCCAAGGTCACACCTGGGCTAGGCACAGTAGGCCCTGCAGCTGAATGCAGCCCCCTCACCGTGTCCCTGGCAGGCAGGAGTCAACGTCCCGAAGGCGGGCAGCCCCCTCCTCATCTCTCAGCAATTTCTCATCCTGTGGGCAGAGCTGGGTGGTGGCCCCAGAAGAACACAGTGGGTCTGAGAGTCCAGGCCAGGCAGACACCCTGGCCTCTGGGAACACCAGGCCTGCCTCCCTCCCTCCCCAGGACTGGTGCAGGCGCTGCAGACTAAGGTGACCCAGCAGGGGCTGAAGATGGCAGTGCCCGGACTGGATGGGGCCCAGGTCCCCCAGGACTCCCTGCAGCAGGCACTGCCCCAGCTGCTGTCAGCCGCTTGCGGGCTTCAGCTCAACGGGAACCTACAGCTGGAGCTGGCACAGCTGCTGGCCCAGAAGAGGTCTGAGCTGCCAGAGGACCCTCTGCTCAGCGGCCTCCTGGACTCCCCAGCGCTCAAGGCCTGTGTGGACACTGCCCTGGAGAACATGCCCAGCCTGAAGATGAAGGTGGTGGAGGTGGGTGCCTCCTGGGCAGCCAGGCTTTTGCCCTGAACATCATGGGACCCACCCCCACATCAGTCTCAGAAAGACACAGCACGGACACAGGGCAGGCCCCTGGGCGATGGGAGGGGCTGGCCAGCTGCCTGTGTGGTTCTATGCACACACCACCTGCAGTCCACACAGCCGCTGTGGAAGGCCTGTGGGCTCCAAGAGGTACACCTAGGCGGGACCCCAGGGACAAGGCTAGTGGCACCTCCCTGGTGTGGGACTGATTCCAGAATTTACCCCGTACAGGTGCTGGCTGGCCATGGTCACCTGTATTCCCGCATCCCAGGCATGCTCAACATGCAGCCCCTGCTGCAGCTGAGCTACACGGCCACTGACCGCCACCCTCAGGCCCTGGAGGCTGCCCAGGCCAAGCTGCAGCAGCATGACATTGCCCAGGGCCAGTGGGACCCCTTGGACCCTGCCCCCAGCACCCTGGGCAGCACTGACCTCTTGGTGTGCAACTGTGCAGTGGCAGCCCTTGGGGACCCAGCCTTAGCCCTTGGCAACATGGTGGCTTCCCTGAGAGAGGGGGGCTTTCTCTTGCTGCACACGCTGCTCCAGGGGCACCCCCTTGGGGAGACCGTGGCCTTCCTCACCTCCGCTGAGCCGCAGTACGCCCAGGGCATCCTCAGCCAGGTACAGCCTCGGGGCAGGAGCACAGGGGCGGGAGCACAGAGGCAGGAGCACCGGGTGGGGGCGGGGGTCGGGCCGGCAGGGTGCTGACCGCCACCCCCACAGGACGCATGGGAGAGCCTCTTTGCCAAGATGTCGCTGCGCTTGGTGGGCCTGAAGAAATCCTTCTACGGCTCCGTACTTTTCCTGTGCCGCCGGCCCGCCCCACAGGACAGCCCCATCTTCCTGCCGGTGGAGGACACCAGCTTCCACTGGGTGGACTCTCTGAAGGTCGGGCCCCGCCCCCACCTCCAGGCCCCGCCCCCACCTCCAGGCCCCGCCCCGCCTCCTCCGGGCTCCATCCCACCTCCAGGCCCCGCCCCGCCTCCGGGCCCCGCCCCCACCTCCGGACCGGGCCCCGCCCCGCCTCCGGGCTCCATCCCACCTCCAAGCCCCGCCCCGCCTCCGGGCCCCAGTGCGGCTGCGCAGCTTGACGAGCGTGGTCTGACCCTCCCCGTCCTGCTGCAGGGCATCCTGGCCGACTCCTCCTCCCGACCCGTGTGGCTGAAGGCTGTCAACTGCACCACGTCTGGCGTGGTGGGCTTGGTGAACTGTCTCCGCCAAGAGCCCGGCGGGCACCGTATCCGGTAGGAGAAGACTCTCGTCACCGTCCCCTCCCCGCCAGCCTCCTCCTCCCCGCCCTGAACTCACTGCCTCTGCCCCAGGTGCCTGCTACTGTCCAACCTCAGTAGCACCTCCCGTGTCCCGGATGTGGACCCTGGCTCCGCAGAACTGCAGAAGGTGCTGCAGGGAGACCTGGTGATGAACGTCTACCGCGACGGGGCCTGGGGGACCTTCTGCCACTTCCCGCTGGAGCAAGGTGAGCCCCCAACACTGCCCTCCGGGGAGACTGGCCTGAAGGCCCTGCCACAGCTCCATCTCCTGTTTCCCTAGACAAGCCCGAGGAGCTGACGGCACACGCCTACGTGATGGTCCTCACCCGGGGTGACCTGTCCTCCATCCGCTGGGTCTGCTCCTCGCTACGCCATGCCCAGCCCGCCAGCCCTGGTGCCCAGCTCTGTACAGTCTACTACGCCTCCCTCAACTTCCGCGACATCATGCTGGCCACTGGCAAGCTGTCCCCTGATGCCATCCCAGGTAAGGTGACCATGGGTCGTGGGGGTGGACCAGGACCTGCCTGGGAACCCCTTGGGATTCGGGAAGGGTGGGTCGTGGGGGGTGCTCAGTGCCATCTCCTCCAGGGAATTGGGCCACCAAGGACTGCTTGCTGGGTATGGAATTCTCAGGCCGGGACCCCAGCGGCAAGCGTGTGATGGGGCTGGTGCCCGCCGAGGGCCTGGCCACCTCTGTCCTGCTGTCACCAGACTTCCTCTGGGATGTGCCCTCCCACTGGTGAGTGTGTCGAGGATGTGGGCCTGGGCCCCACGTGGATGGTGGGCAGGCCTCGCCTGACCCACCTGCTTCATCCCCAGGACGCTGGAGGAGGCAGCCTCAGTGCCCGTCGTCTACACCACAGCTTATTACGCACTGGTAGTGCGCGGGCGGGTCCAGCGCGGGGAGACGGTGCTCATCCACTCAGGCTCGGGTGGCGTGGGCCAGGCCGCCATTGCCATCGCCCTCAGTCTGGGCTGCCGCGTCTTCACCACCGTGGGTAAGGCCCTGCCCCCGGAGCCAGCCGCCCTCTTGGCCCCGCCACCCAGGCTCACCCTCGCCGCCTCTCCTTACCAGGGTCGGCCGAGAAGCGGGCGTATCTCCAGGCCAGATTCCCCCAACTTGACAGCACCAGCTTCGCCAACTCAAGGGACACATCATTCGAGAAGCACGTGATGCAGCACACGGGCGGGAAGGGTGAGTGGCCCCCACGCCCCCGCAGCCCCCACCTCCTCCTTCCCCATCCTCCGGCCCAGGGAGAGGCAGGCTCTGGCCCTCTGGTCTGCGGTGGCTGGGCCTGCAGTGGGTGTGACTACCAGGTCCTCTGGCCCCTAGGCGTTGACCTGGTCCTGAACTCCTTGGCGGAAGAGAAGCTGCAAGCCAGCGTGAGGTGCTTGGCTCAGCACGGCCGCTTCCTGGAAATTGGCAAATTTGACCTTTCTAACAATCACCCGCTTGGTGAGCGCCCGGGCGGGGGCGGGCAGGGATGGGTGCAGGTGGACATGTGGAAGGCCCTGGGTGAGCGTGGTCCCTGCCTGCAGGCATGGCCATCTTCTTGAAGAACGTGACCTTCCACGGGATTCTTCTGGACGCACTCTTCGATGACGCCAGTGCTGCCTGGCAGGAGGTGTCGGCGCTTCTGCAGGCTGGCATCCGTGATGGCGTGGTGCAGCCCCTCAAGTGCACCATGTTCCCCAGGACCCAGGTGGAGGACGCTTTCCGCTACATGGCCCAGGGGAAGCACATTGGCAAAGTTGTCGTGCAGGTGAGGGACAGGCCTGGGCATCTCGGACCTTCAGCCTCCTGTCCCCAGGCAGTGCCTGAACCGTGGGTGCTGCTCGGATGCAGGTGCGTGCGGAGGAGCCGGAGGCTGTGCTGAAGGGGGCCAAACCCACACTGATGGCGGCCGTCTCCAAGACCTTCTGCCCGCCCCACAAGAGCTACGTCATTGCTGGTGGCCTGGGTGGCTTCGGCCTGGAGCTGGCCCAGTGGCTGATAAAGCGCGGAGCCCAGAAGCTGGTGCTGACCGCTCGCTCCGGGATCCGGACAGGTGAGTGGGCAGCGGTGCCTGTAGACCAGCCTGGGCCATCACGGCACCTGGGCTCTACCTGCGTCCGTCTTGGGGGGATTGCTGGATGGGGTTCTGTGGCCGCTCTCCACTTCCCCAGCCCAACATGTGGGGAGAGACTGTGTGCCCTGGCTGGCACAGCCCATAGTCCCGTGTCCTGCAGGTTACCAGGCCAAGAAGGTCCGAGAGTGGAGGCATCTGGGCGTGCAGGTGCAGGTGTCTACCAGCAACGCCAGCTCACTGGAGGGGGCCCAGGGCCTCATCGCCGAGGCTGCGCAGCTCGGGCCCGTGGGTGGCATCTTCAACCTGGCTATGGTGAGAGAAAGCCCCCAGGTGGGGCTTTCAAAAGACCAAGGGGTGGCCCCTGAGTGGGCGGGGAGGCTCTGGAGCTGCAGGCAGTGCTGAGGTTGCCTCTCCCAGGTCTTGAGAGACGCCTTGCTGCAGAACCAGAGCCCGGAGTCCTTCCAGGACGTCAGCCAGCCTAAATACAACAGCACCCTGAACCTGGACAGGTGGGCACCCTGCACTCTGCTCCCGCCTCTGCCAGGGCCTGGGCTCAGGGCCCTGGGAGCCGAGGTGGTTTGTTGACAGCCTTCCCTGGCATCTCCTGGGGATGGGACACTGGGGGCTTCTGCGGGTGCCAGCCAGTGGGGAGTGACACATGTGACCACAGGGTGACCCGGGAGGCGTGTCCAGAGCTAGACTACTTCGTGGTTTTCTCCTCTGTGAGCTGTGGGCGTGGCAACGCCGGACAGACCAATTACGGCTTTGCCAACTCCGCCATGGAGCGCATCTGCGAGAAACGCCGGCACGACGGCCTCCCAGGTGAGCCCCCTCCCCGCTCTCTGCCCTGCCATGCCCACCCTCAGCCCTGTCCACCCTCTCCCTGTGGCCACTCCCCACCCCCACCTTCTCCCCACAGCCCTGCCCACCTGCCCCCTCGCCCACAGGCCTGGCCGTGCAATGGGGCGCCATTGGCGACGTGGGCGTCGTGATGGAGACAAGAGGCACCAACAACACGGTCATCGGGGGCACACTGCCCCAGCGCATGGTCTCCTGCCTGGAGGTGCTAGACCTCTTTCTGAACCAGCCCCATGCCGTCCTGAGCAGCTTCGTGCTGGCTGAGAAGGCTTCAGCCTACAAGGATGGGGACAGCCAGCGGGACCTGGTGAAGGCCGTGGCACATATCCTGGGTGAGTGCTGCCAGCAGGAGCCACGCCAGGCACTTCCCCCACTGGCATCAGGGTCTGTAACACAGCAGGCATGGTTCTGTGCACCTCAGTTTTCCCATCTGTAGAGCTTGCCTTCTGGGGTGGATACCATCGTTTGCAGAGCCTGGGTGTGGGCACAGATGCCACTGCGGTGACCGTGCTTTGGGAGACACACAGCCGGTGCAACCCTGGGCATCAGCCCTGCCCCCCCCAGCCGTCCCCACACCCCCTCTGGAGTTGCCGACTGCATTCCTTCCAGGCATCCGCGACTTGGCTGGCATCAACCTGGACAGCTCCCTGGCGGACCTGGGCCTGGACTCTCTCATGGGCGTGGAGGTGCGCCAGACGCTGGAGCGCGAACACGACCTGGTGCTGTCTATGCGTGAAGTGCGGCAGCTCACGCTCCGGAAGCTGCAGGAGCTGTCTTCGAAGGCAGGTGCGGCCAGCAGTGTGTATGGGCAGCCAGGTGGGAGCGGGGTCTCTGGGCTGCCCTGGTCCATCCTCTGGACCGAGTCCCAGCAGGTGTTCCACCGTTCGTCACGGGTGCTTCTCTGAGCATTCCCACTGACATAGCACCTCGGGGACTTGCGTGTGCGTCTGCATGTCTTTGCGTGGTGCCGGACCTCTGCACCCAGCCTAGCCCGGCATCTGCCTCTGTTGTCCTCACAGAGCTGGCGTCCCCCACGCCCAAGAACAGCCCGGCCCAGCAGCAGAGCCAGCTGAACCTGCGCTCCCTGCTGGTGAACCCCGAGGGTCCCACCCTGACACGGCTCAACTCGGTGCAGAGCTCCGAGCGGCCCCTGTTCCTGGTGCACCCAATCGAGGGCTCCACCACTGTGTTCCACAGCCTGGCCTCCGGGCTCAGCATCCCCACCTATGGCCTGCAGTGCACCCGAGGTACTCCCAGCCCCTCCCCGGGGCACGGTGGCCCAGCTGGCCGTCACGGGGGCGTGGCTGCGGCCCGTGTGTGCTGAGTGCCCGTCCCTGCCGTTTCAGCTGCCCCCCTCGACAGCATCCACAGCCTGGCAGCCTACTATGTCGACTGCATCAGGCAGGTGCAGCCCGAGGGCCCCTACCGCGTGGCTGGCTACTCCTATGGGGCCTGCGTGGCCTTTGAGATGTGTTCCCAGCTGCAGGCCCAGCAGAGCCCAGCCCCTACCAACAACAGCCTCTTCCTATTTGATGGCTCACCCACCTACGTGCTGGCCTACACCCAGGTGAGAGCCGGGCCAGGTACTGGAGGTGTGCGGCAAACATCTGAGCTCCCTACCTGTGCCCTGACTTTGGTAGGGGCCGTCACTCAGGAGGCCACCCCCCTTCCATCCACTCAGCAGCCCTTTCCTCCTCTCAGAGCTACCGGGCAAAGCTGACACCAGGCTGCGAGGCTGAGGCCGAGACAGAGGCCATGCGCTTCTTCGTGCAGCAATTCACGGACGCGGAGCACAGCAGGGTGGGTCCCAGACACCCCTGAGGCTCAGGACCCAGAACACTGGGGGGAAGGGTAGGGAGGGGTAAGGTAGGGGGCTGGGGATGGGGGGCAAAGAGCATTAAAGACCTCCCCCAGCTTCACCCCTTTAAGGGCCCACCCCAGTCAGGCAGGGTGGCTCATTCTTATAATCTCAGTATTTTGGGAAGCCGAGGTGGGCAGATCTGAGGTTGGGAGTTCGAGACCAGCCTGACCAAGATGGAGAAACCCCATCTCTATTGGAAATACAAAATTAGCCGGGCGTGGTGGTGCACACCTGCAATCCCAGCTACTTGGGAGGCTGAGACAGGAGAATCACTTGAACCCATAAGGCAGAGGTTGCACTCCAGCCTGGGCAACAAGAGCAAAACTGTGTCTCAAAAAAAAAAAAAGACAAATATATTGGAAATCAAAAATGTAGCAAGGAAAAGGAGCCCACCCCACAGCACGGCGCAGGGTGACAGGGTAGGCCGTTGCTGTGGGCACCACCGGCACCTGGTCAGACCCCAACCCCACAGGTGCTGGAGGAGCTGCTGCCGCTGAAGAGCCTGGAAGAGCGCGTGGCAGCCGCCGTGGACCTGATCACCAAGAGCCACCAGGGCCTTGACCGCCAGGAGCTGAGCTTCGCGGCCCTGTCCTTTTACCACAAGCTGCGTGCTGCTGAGCAGTACACACCCAAGGCCAAGTACCATGGCAACGTGACGCTGCTGCGCGCCAAGACGAGCAGCTCCTACAGTGAAGACCTGGGCGCGGACTACAACCTCTCCCAGGTGCGCCAGGGGCCTGATGGAGGCGGGGACAGGAGTGCGGTGGGCGGGGTGGAGCCGGGCAGCGGCTGACGGCATCCCCTGCAGGTGTGCGACGGGAAGGTGTCTGTCCACATCATTGAGGGCGACCACCGCACACTGCTGGAGGGCCGTGGCCTGGAGTCCATCATCAGCATCATCCACAGCTCCCTGGCTGAGCCACGTGTGAGCGTGCGGGAGGGCTAGGTCCCACCCCCGCCTGCCCCCGGAGACTGCTCCGCCATTCCCCTCACCGCTGTGCAGCGGGGCTGGAAGGGTCCTGCCGGTGGGACCCTACTGGGCCCAGTGCCACTGCCCCCCGAGGCCACTAGACATAGGCGTTAGGCTTGTCCCGCCTGCCCGCTGCCTCCCAGGGCACCTCGGGGATGCCAGAGCCGCCGACTTGGAGACTCCTGGTCTGTGAAGAGCCGGCAAAACCCGCAAGAACTGGGCTGGTGCACCTGTGGGGTTCGCGCTTGGTCTTTCTCCTCTTGGATTTGCATATTTATTGCATTGCTGGTAGAGACCCCCAGGCCTGTGCACCCTGCAAAGACTCCTCAGGCAGCATGCGGGTCCTGCACATTGCTTCCATTTCCCCATGTCTCCTGCGGGCATGGGTGGCCACCCAGGCCTGCTGGCTGCGGCCCCCTCTGGGCCAGGCCTGGCTCGACCCACTCCGTGGGAGGTCACCAAGGAGCCGGAGGTCCCAGCTCCGGCCCACTGTGTCCAGCTGCACCCATGATGCAGGGCTGGCTCCAACCCTGCGGACCGCGCCGGGCACCAACTCACTGTTTGTCTGTGTTTGTTTTTCAAGAAATGATTCAAATTGCTGCTCAGATTTTGAAATTACTATAACTGTCAGTGTACACGTCTGGACCCCGTTTCATTTTTACACCAATTTGGTAAATATGCTGTTCTCCTCAGCCTCCCCACAATTAAACCGCACGTCATCTCTGCGCTGTCGTTTTCCCTCCTCCTCCCTGACCGGCAGCTGCAAGCCACAGTCGGGCCGTGGAGGGGATGCCTTCTGTCCTCTGATCCTAGCCCAGTTTCTGCACACCCCTAGGCCACGTCCCACAGTCGGGGCTGGGCCAGAGAGTAAGGGATGAGCCATGGGGCAGCCCCGGGCTTCCCTTGAAGGCACGGAGGCCAGGTGTATGTCCAGGCTCTGGCGAGGAAACAGCACCAGTAAGAAACACGGGGAGGGGCGGACATTGGCAAGTTGGCTTCGGTTCATGGAATAGTATTTGCTTCCAGTCAGCCAGTTGCGGGCATTCACCCTGCCAAAGATGCCTCACAGCCTCACCAGACAGTGCAATAGGGCCATGGGCTGGCCAGGCTGATGAAGACTTGGATTTAGGCAAAGGAGTGGAAGGCGGGAGGGAGCAAGGGGCAGGGAGCCCTGGGCACCTGGACCCCCAGTGTCAAGGGGTGGGGTGGACGCAGCCCCCGGGACCCACAGGGCAGCACCCCACAGGCAGCTTGGCCGGGGTGGCTGGGCAGATGTGAGCGTGGGGTAGAGGCATAGACAGGCAGCGAGAGCCAGGACTGGATTTTGCCTGGGGTTCCGGAAGGCACAGACAGGAGAGGCCTTTCCAGCGTCAGTGCTGGCCACAGAGGCGGGTGTGGGCTGGGAGAGCTCCTGCTGGGCAGGCAGGGGAGGAATGGGTGCAGGGGACACCTCCCAGGGCAGTGGAGTGGGCCAGGTCTGATGGGGAGGGTGAGGGCAAGATGGGCACAGTGGCCAGGACCACAGTGAGTAGCAGGGGCCTGGTGTGGTGGCTGCAGGTGGGCAGTGTCCAGGTGCGGGTGTGGATGGCAGGCAGGCATTGGATCGAGGCTCAGCCATATTCCTCCTGCAGCCCCCAGTGCTGGGCAGATGCCCCCGTCAGCCGAGGCCCGCTCCCGCCTCTCTCCACCCCTCTTGAAGCCACTCTCACCCAGCCATGCACACAGGCTCAGGGCCACCAGAGAGGACAGAAGCTCATCGGCCAGTGGGAGCTATGTCTGGGCCTATCTGGGGGTGGACTGGGGCTCATCTAGGCTCAGAACCCGACTGCTTAGCTCTGCAGCCTCAGGCCCTGCAGGGCAGGTGGGCAGTGCCCAGCACGTGGGCTTTTGCCACCCCTCCTGCTCATTGGTACCTGGATGTGGTGTCCAGGCACAGCTCCTGCCAAGGCTTCGGGGGGGCTCTGATGTGCCTGATGCATCCAAGTTGCAAATTACCTTCAGGGAGATCTGAGAGAAACCGCGTCTCTGTTATGAAGATACAGTTACCCGAGGATATGCAATTATCTTCACATCTATTATTTTTTCTTTTGAATTAAAGTGAAAATTAATGTAATGAATTGGAGTTTGGACCCAGAGTAGCAAGGCCTTCGTTCACCCTCCTGCCTGAAACAGCTAAAAATCCAGGCAAAGAACATGAGATGCTGGTTGTGGGTATCCCCGGCCTCTGCTGATGAAGGACAGTGACCCCTGGGTGGGAATGTGGTGCTGGGAACCCTGGGGTGACCTCAGCCTTCTGCCTGGCAGCTTCCAGGCTGGCCACAGGGAGAGGGGGAGCCCAGCAGACTCCTTGAGGAGGTGGAACTGAGAGTCCAGCGAGAAGATGAGGCCAGGGGTTGCAGGACAGCACCCAGGAGGAGCTGCACAGGCAGACGGGGGTCGCAGGGGCTCTCCCTCGAGGATCAGGCTGAGCACCATCCATGTGTGCGAGCAGGAAGCCAGCGGAAGGATGAGAGGGGTCAGTGCCACCCCAGTGCTTGCACAGGGCTGGAAACTGCCTGTTCCTACCAGCCGGACTAGAAAACCTCAGAACTCACAAGACATTGAGTACTCAGAGGGGCTTGTCTCAAGGCACAAGACCTATTGGCTAACTAGTTACTAGTTAGCTCTTGTCCACCTAAAAAAAAAAAAATCTTAAGACCCCCAGCTGGGCGCGGTGGCTCATGCCTGTAATCCCAACCCTTTGGGAGGCTGAGGTGGGTGGATTGAGGTCAGGAGTTCCAGACCAGACTGGTCAATATGGGGACACTCCATCACTACTAAAAATAATTAGTCACTCGTGGTGGTGTGCACTGGGGTAGTCCCAGCTGCTCCGAAAGCTGAGGCAGGAGAATCACTTGCATCCAGGAGGCAGAGGTTGCAGTGAGCCAGCCAAGATCGCGCCAATGCACTCCAGCCTGGACAACAGAGTGAGACTGTCTCAAAAAAAAAAAAAAAAAAAAAAAAAAGATGTCTCGGAGCATCAGGAAACAGAAAACAATGAAAAGGGGGAAAAATGGGAGGATACAGTGTTCCCCATGTCCTGAGTTTTCAAATTTATGTTTAACATGTGAAGAAGTAAAATTCTAAGACCATATGATGTAATTCTAAACATATGTGGAGGGATAGTGAAGATGACCGTGATACACATGAGATACAGGCTAGAGAGACGGAGAAGGAAACGTCTGTGCGCCCTCCCTGAGCTACGGGAAAATGGCGCCTAGACCTGCCCCAGGTGGGGATAAGGTAACACCTGGGCAACCACTAAAGCAGCAACCCTCAAAGCGGAAGTGACGTCATTTGCGAACTGTCAGAGCAGGAAGCTCCAGGCAGAGGTCAGTCCCTCCACCAAAGCAGCCGCTGAGCTGGAGAGTGACTGGAAGCCAGTGCTTCAGAACTCTGGTACCTGGGGCGCCGGAGAGAAAAGGAAAAGCAGGGTGAGCAAACCAGCTCTGAGCCTCCTTCCTCACCCCGCCCCCCGCGCGGTGGGGACAGTGGTCTCCACCTCTGGAGCAGCTGGCTGGTGCCAGGCAGGCAGGCCTCGTCCTCCCCAAATCTGGGCTAAGCATTTTGGTTGGTCCTGAGATTCCCGGAGGAACCAGAGCAGGCGTTTCCCTTGGTTTCAGCCCCTCAGACTCAGGTCTCTGGCCCCTCTCCCCCTCCACAGCATCTATCAGAAGATTTAAAGAGACAGAAACACATCCCACTCCGCACCCCTTTTGGATCCAGACATTTAAATAAGTGTCAGCCAGGCACAGTGGCTCATTCCTGTAATCCCAGCACTTTGGGAGGCCGCGACAGGTGGATCAGGAGGTCAGGAGCTCAAGACCAGCCTGACCAACACAGTGAAACCCTGTCTCTACTAAAAATACAAAAATTAGCCAGGCATGGTGGTAGGCGTCTGTACTCCCAGCTACTCGGGAGGCTGAGGCAGAAGAATCGCTTGAACCCAGGAGGTGGAGGTTGCAGTGAGCCAAGATTATCCCACTGCACCCCAGCCTGGGTGACACAGTGAGACTCTGTCTCAAAAAACAAATAAGGAACAAGGAAATGTATGTCAACAAGGGCTCAAGGAAACTATACTCATAAATTGATTACATTTCTGCAGTGGGAAGTGCCAGCCATGAATTGTATACTATTAATTCTAAACAGATTTGGAAAACTTAGGATGTATGTTAGTAGCCCTAGAACAACTAGAAAGCAATAAAATGAAGTATCACTAAGAAGCCAATAGAGGACGTAAAATAGAACACTAAAATAATACTATTTTACTATCCCAGAAGAAGGCAGGAAAGGAGCAGCAAAATAACACAAAACAGCAGAGACACGTAGAAACAAGAAGGAAGAGAATGGACGTAAATTCAGCCATGTCACTAACTGTTAAATGTAAATGGACTAAACATTCCAATTAAAAGGAAGATGATCAGATTGTATAAAAAAGGCTGGGCACGGTGGCTCACGCCTGTAATCGAAGCACTTTGGAGGCCAAGGCGGGCGGATCACCTGAGGTCGGGAATTCAAGACCAGCCTGACCAACATGGTGAGACCCCCGTCTTAAAAAAAAAAAAAAAAGAAGAAGATTGTATAAAAAAGCAAGTCTCGCCGGGCACGGTGGCTCACACCTGTAATTCCAGCACTTTGGGAGGCCGAGGCAGGCGAATCATGAGGTCAGGAGTTTGAGACCAGTCTGGCCAACATGGCCAAACCCTCTCTCTACTAAAAATGCAAAAATTAGCCAGGCGTGGTGGCACATGCCTGTAATCCTAGCTACTCAGGAAACTGAGACAGGAGAATTGAACCTGGTATGTGGAGGCTACAATGAGCCAAGATTGCAGCACTGCACTCCAGGTGGGCGACAGAGCAAGACTCTGTCTCCAAAAAAAAAGAGAGAGAAAGAAAGAAAGGGTAGAAATGTCCCTATTTGCACAAAATGTGGATGCATGAAACAACATGGATAGTTCTCAAATTTATGTTGAGTGAAACAAAAGGCCAATCTCCAGAGGTGTGTATGAGAGCATTTACATAATGCTCTTAGAATAACAGAATGACAAAGATGGAAAACACGTCACCAGGCCCCTGGCTTGGGCACCTCCCTTCCCCATGATGGGACACCTGGCTTTGGATCTCACCTTCTCACCTGCTCCAGGTGATGGAGGTGATGAGCGAGGGGACCAAAGCCTGGCTGGGTTGACCCTCGGACCTGACTAAGCTTCCGACGCCCTTGCTTTATCGTGAAGTCTACTTTTTCCATGAACAATATAGTTACACCTGCTTTTTAATTTTTTTTTTTTTTTTTTTTTTTTTTTTTTTTGAGACGGAGTTTCGCTCTTGTTACCCAGGCTGGAGCGCAATGGTGCGATCTTGGCTCACCGCAACCTCCGCCTCCTGGGTTCAGGCAATTCTCCTGCCTCAGCCTCCTGAGTAGCTGGGATTACAGGCACGCACCACCATGCCCAGCTAATTTTTTTGTAGTTTTAGTAGAGACGGGGTTTCACCATGTTGACCAGGATGGTCTCGATCTCTTGACCTCGTGATCCACCCGCCTCGGCCTCCCAAAGTGCTGGGATTACAGGGTTGAGCCACCGCGCCCAGCTGCTTTTTAATTTTTACTGTTTTCTTGGATTTATATTTTTCTTTTTACTTTCAACTAATTGTTTCTTTATATTTAAAATATGACTCTTTTAACAAC